CTGTGAAGAGTTTTGTATCACATGTTAACGTCCACCAGAAGCCATCCATCATGAGAGAGGGACTGAACAACCAAGTTGACAGTGACTCGGACCTGGATCAGACTGCCATTGGCCACCTCAGAATTGGCAGAATGGGCACATCAACAGAGTGTGCTATGGCAGCAGAGACAGAGGCATCCAACTAGAGGACCACTTCATAGCAAAGGAAGTGGCTGGTGTAAGTAAGACTTGAATACCACACCATCCACAAGCCAGCATCACAGAATGCAGAAATAGACCATGAGTCAGTTATGTTCCCTGTAGAAGGAAATCTGAGAGATGCATTTTCACGGCCACCACAGACTCCTATTGGCACTGAACAGCTCTAAGTCTCCACCTAATTGGCCCACAGATCCAGCTGTGATGCTCTGAAATCTATCGTCATGTTAGCCCTGCGATGGGCTCCCCCTAGGCTGCTCCCAGCCAATAAATGAGTGTGACAGGGATACTAAGGGGGCTGAACCTGCAAAATGCTGGCCTCTTCTGAAGAGTGACTTTGGCTCAAGGACTCCCCTAGGCCTGGCTGAAACTTGCTTATAATTTCACTGCAGTCTTAGGAGTAACTTCCTTTCTACCTCCCTCCCCTTTGCTTCTCTCTTCTCCCCAGGGGGCAGACTTGCATCTGAGTCTGATGTCTCTTCCACTGGCTCCTTCTCCATTTTCCCTCACTGGCATTTCCTCTAATAAATCTCTTGCACATCTAATTCCATCTTGGCATCTGCTTCTTGGAGGACCCAGACTAACACAGATGGCATGTATATGTGCTGGTGGGTGTCTAAGGCAGAAAGGCAACTATGTCAATCTTGCATGCTAAGTGTAGTCAACTGGGAGCAGCTGCCAGGAGAGTACTGAGTTGAGAAAGACTCTAGATCTGTATCTGGCCATTTGAATAAATACTATGGCCTGACTGGGCGTGGTGGCTCCCACCTGTAATCCCAGTACTTTCGACCAGACTGACCAACATGGGGAAACCCCGTCTCTACTAAAAATACGAAAAATTAGCTGGGTGTGGTGGCACATGCCTGTTAATCCCAGATACTCAGGAGGCTGAGGCAGGAGAATCACTTGAACCTGGGAGGCAGAGGCTGTGGTGAGCCGAGATCATACCATTGCACTCCAGCCTCGGCAACAAGAGCTAAACTCTGTCTAAAAAATAAATAAACAAAAAATAGATACTATGGCCTACTTTTTTTTTTTCGAGATAGGGTCTTGCGCTGTCATCCAGGTTGGAGTGCAATAGCATGATCACAGCTCACTCTAGCCTCGACCTCCTGGGCTCAAACAATCCTCCAGCCTCAGCCTCCTGAGTAGCTGGGACTACCGGTACTCATTTTTGTATTTTTTGTAGAGCTGGGTTTTCACCATGTTAGGCTGGTCTTAAACTTCTGGGCTCAAGTAATCTACCTGCCTTGGCCTCCGAAAATGCTGGGATTACAGGTGTGAGCTGCTCTCAGCTGCTATGGTTTGTTAATAGGCAACATCTACCAGGAGGGTTAAGGGAGGCATCTTGGTCTTTCATTAGTTGCTTCTGCTGAATTTGGATGTTCCCTAAATCTCTATCAAGAAGGGTCATGGTCAGAGAGCTATTGTATGTAAAACTTTTGTTAATAATGGATGATATTTATAATGAGAATGAGTGATTAATAATACTTAGTGATTAATAATGATGATTATAAAAAATAATAGGCTGGGCACAGTGGCTTGTGCCTGTAATCCTAGCATAATGGGAGGCCAAGGCAGGAGGACTGCTTGAGGGCAGGAGTTTGAGGCTGCAGTGAGCCATGGTCACGCCACTGCACTCCAGCTTGGGCGATAGAGTGAGACCCTGTTACCAAAAACAAATAAGCAAAATAAAAATAACGATTATATAATGTAATGATATGATTATGTAGTAACATTATGATAATGCTTAATGATGAATGATATTTATAAAACGATATTCTATCACTGAAAATCCTAAAGTGATACTAAATGCAAGATAACATGTGGCTTAATCATATAAGCAATAATTTTCACACTGAAAGATGGGGGGGTCACAAGGAATCTGGAATAAAAGATTTAAAGCATAAGGATTTATTAGTGGTTTCCATCTCTGACTTGGGGTGACTGTGCTCTCAGCTGATATGCTGATGTGGTTATTCCTGTTTTCTTGGAAGGTCTGTATCATGAAACCCATCATGACCTATTCATGAATATTAGTCATTTTCCTTCATCTGATTTTATATCAATGTTCTGACATTAATCAGGTTTTAGAAGTAGATTTTCCTGCTGGGTGCAGTGGTTCATGCCTGTAATTCCACCACTTTGGAAGGACTGCTCAAGCCCAGGACTTTAAGACCAGCCTGGGAAACATAGGAAGATGCTCTCTCTACAAAAAATAACAAGTTAGCCAGGCGTAATGGCACGTGCCTGTGGTCCTAACTACTTGGGAGGCTGAGGTGGGAGGATTACTTGAGCCTATGAGCTGTGATCCTGCCACTGCACTGCCACCTCAGTGACGAAGTTAGACTCTATCAAAAAAAAAAAAAAAAAAAAGCAGATTTTCCTCCTGGAAAGAGAATGTGCTGACCAGTTGATATACCTATTCTGGTCTGTGTAGCATTTGATTTCTTGCCTTTATAAACTATAAAATAATACACGCTTATCATGAAATAATATGCAAAAACTATAAAATCAAACTTCAAAGTTCACTTCTTATGCACAGATTCTTTCCAAACCACTCCCTAGGTGTAACACTTTATTTTTTGTTGTAAATTAATTGGTTTCTCCATTGACTGTTATTCAAGGTGACCTTGTTTAAGAGGAATCTCTTGTGAATTCACTCAGAATGAACTAACAAAAATGAGTTTCCTTTTTTCTTTTTCTTTTTTACTTCTTCCTTCATCAAAGTCTTCTTAGCTACAAAAAAACGGAACTTCTAAATACACAAAACTGAGGGCCAGCCTTTTCATTCAGTCCTTTTGATCTTCACGTGCCAGTCTTTTGTTAAGTCTTTTATGATGGGAAACTTGCTTTGTGAAAGTGTAAGAAGGGAACAATTTGGAAAAGTATGTGTAGTTCTGAGTTCACTGCATTTCATGATTTATTCGGTCCTGTGAACTACCACTCTCTTATGTTGTGTGTATTGTATTACTTTTCAGTTATTTTCCAAGAGTCTTTTCACCTCCCTTGAATCTCTGCCAAGGATAAAGGATAAAGCAAGAGGTAAGAAAAATAACTTTAGTCCTAGTGCAAATCAGTATTCACCTACTTCAACAGTTTTTAAAAAAGATTGCATGAAGACAAATCTGAAGTGATGTAGATTGCAGATTGGCTTATTATTATTATTGGCCATTTGCAAACTTAAAGCAATTCCTGATGAGAAAAATTACTTCCCTAATTTGAGTACCGTTATGCTTTTAGTATACATGGAATTTATTATAGAATATTTTCCTTACTGGAAAGAAAACATTTGGGTCTGTTTTTCAAAATGCTTTCCTATAAGGATTTAGGGAGGATACCTTGAGCATAAGCTCTCTAAGGGAAAGTTACTGTTATAGGAACAGAAAAGACAACTGACAAAAATAATGCTAATAAAGCTACAAAAACAGATATAATTGTGTAATTAAAAAAATGCTTTCACTTACAGAGGGACCATCTTACAGAGGAACCAAACTTACAAGGTACATTCATGTTATTTAAAGTTGATAAGTTTTTTTTAAAAAATTCACTACTACCAATGAAAGCTGATAAGCATTTTTCAGGGTACTCTTTTTTATGGGACAAACAATGATGAAAATTAATATAGAAATCTGATTTACTGTGAGTATAAATTAGAGATCTTTTCATGTAGATTAAACATATTTTTCTTCCAGAAGAATATGTGAAATTAATTTGTAGCACATTTATTATTTACCAGTTTTCATAAAATGGAATGCTGTTAAGGTAGTTAGAAAAATATATTGTAAAAATATCTTTGGTGAGAGGCTGTGATTTAGTAAATATTGTATTTATTTAAGATAGTCACAGAAGCGAGCTTAGGGTTCACATTGGCACTATTCTTTAAACTTCATTTTTTGATGTTAGAAGTTAGACACAATGTAATAGCTATTTGAGGCAAAAATTACTGTGCCTGAAGTTCTTTATATAATAAAGAACCATAGTAGTATGGGAATATCATTTAAGTCATGAGACCTGCTAGATTAGTAGGCTGATAGGTTTGATGATCTTCTATTTAAGGTCAATGATTGTTGCTCAAGGAGCTTTAATCCATTTGTTTCGATTGTTTCTTTTCAAATTTTAACATTACCCAAGAGTTAGGCAAAGTACCAAGGTTGGAATGCAAATTTACATAGTGCCTTTATATTGAATTTATCTCTGGCTTGGGAGAAACAGCCCTCTGCCCTCATGAAGATATTAGCAGGTTCACTTGGCCTTCTGTTGTGATTTAATATAGATGCAGAAGCTAAAAATCCAATAAAACCATTGCCATGAGTTTATCTATTATGACATTCTGGCATATGATGTCAGTTTGTCCTGGAAAATTTCAATTTAATTTTTTTGACCTTATTTTCATATATGAGGAGGGGAACTTTTAATATCAGCATATAAGAATGACCTTTTCAATGTCATTTGAGTTGCAGTAAAGGTTTTGAAGGCATACTTGTTTTCATGCAAATGTTATCTCCTGGCTCCACCAGGTGATAAAACCTTATTAATAAATTACAAAATAGATAAAGGCATTATAATAGACTGTATTGGCACATTTTTGATCTTCTCAACTTACTTATTTCCAGTTCTGATAGGTCTTTTTCTATAGATCCTACCTAAAGATGATTTTGTAAGCCAGAACAACTGCATTTAAATTCCTAAAGATACCACAAATTTTGGGGCACAAATGATATAATGAAATAAACACAAAATCAACTTTTGGGGCCCAATAGAGCTGAGATGCTTTCCGTAAAATAATTAAGAAACCAAAGTAATCACACATATAAACAAGTTTATTAGATTGTCAGTGATACTTTGAGACAAATTCAAGTTATTTTATTTTACTTCATATAAACAGAGGAAGGGAGGAAAGTTTTAAACTTCAAGCTTTGTTCAGCATGTGTGCAGTTAGCATCCACAAAAGCACCATTGGGTATGGGAGAATTAGCACCACAGAATTTTAGGACCTAACTGTTAACATGCATCACTGAAAAACTTGGAACATAAAAACTGAGTAGTACGTGGTATGGTCTATTATAAACAATACAAGGCAATTTATGATTTATTTTCATACAGTACAATACAATCACAATAAATGAGAACCTTTTAAGAACAATACGGGACAAAAACCACCTTGTACCCTGTTAACACTAAAGCAGTTACAGATTTAAAAAAATGTTTCTGGTAAGAGGCATTGGGTTGAAATTATCCCTCCCCCTCCTCAATTTTTAAATTCAGAGTTATATAGTTACATGATCTCTTAAGAAAGTTTTCAAATCTATACATCTCTCTACCTCAAGGCTGACAAATGGTGGTCTGAAAACAGAAAGGCTTGATGAATTAAAAAAAACAAAACCTAAAAACCGGATAGAGTCGAAAAGTACTTCAATGTGGTGGAAATTATTCCACGTAAGGTCAGTTTGGAAATGATGCCAGTGGTGTCGATACTTGTCTTCCTTTCCTTGGAGGAATGTCAAGTACAGAGGCCTTGCATTCATGATGAACTTCAGTTCATTTCTTTCACCGAATGCCTTTATTCTGAGGTGTAACATAAGAGATTTATTCCTTATTCCTCAACTGTTTTTGTAGTATCATGGGGCTGTTCCTTATGCTTGATTTGACAACAGTGAAAAAGGTTGATATTCTCTCTGGATTTGGGATAATTTGTGAGCTAAAGAAAAAATATTAATTTTAATTTAGCAAACATGAAGTTTTCAAGGGTGTTCCACTATTTTCACAGTACAAACCCAAAATTAATCTCAATGAAAACCTTTCTGTTAGAAAGCATGTAACAAACCCTCAATTTTTAGTTGTGTCTAGGCCATTTTTTGGCATATTTGAAGCTACTGTATAAGAAATGTGTAATAAGGATTGATAGATACAGGTATATTCAGATCTCAATGCATTGATGCCAAGGAAAATATAATTTTACTCACCAAGAGAAGAATATACCTTGAAGCATCTATGCAGACACATGAATCAATCATGTATCTGCCCAACTTCTAATTCTGGAATAGTGATAACAGGGTCATTTAGGAAAAAGTACTCAACTACAGTACAGCAGCAATTTTATGTTGTATATATTTAACAGCAAAACATTTTTGAAAATAGAAATCAGTACTATATGGTAAGTTTACAATTCACCATTTCTATATTTGTAATACATGCGTTTATTTGTCTTCCAAGTTTTAAAAAATCCCACTAGGACCAACATCTTCCGGAACAACAATCTAACATTAAACAAAACTTTCTAAGAAAAATATTTAGCATCACAGAGAGTTGAGAAACGTCTGTTACTCAGCATCACAAAATACTCAATAGGTCTACACTGAAGATTGTTCATGCCATGACATTAATATACCTTTGGGTTAATATATCTTATTTTTGAAAGAAAACAGTGAACCTAACCAAACAACTGACATGGAATTTGTGTTTGGTCTCCCCTTAACAAGAATAGACCTCCGATAAACTGGACTCCTTTCTATATCATGTAATGATAAGACTGTCTATGAAACTGCATTTACATTTAGTGAAACATTCAAAATCAGAGATGGAAAAATGGCCGCCACAAAGAATGACTTAAAGATAAGTAAACTTATAGAAAAATGTGTTTTTGTAAAAGTATACTGCCCCTCAAGCAAAAAAGAAAGTGGAGTTTGCTCACTTTGAAATATTTTACTGTTGGAAAAATTTCTTGGATAAAAGCCTATCCTTATGAGTCTCAGAAAGATGCTAAGGTTTAACTTGAGAGGGTTGAACCCTTTTGAAAAAATTATCCTACGCTTTTTCTGCTGAACTAAATTCCTTGTTTAAATCAAGTACTAATTTTCTGAAGAGGAAACTGCTATACACAGCAGCACATCCAATGTTGATGATTTCAATTTGATAGTTCACCAGGCATGGCTGACTTGAGCAAAAAAGAAACAAACCGATGTTTTAATGTTTTAGAATTACACTAAAAAATCTCAACTAAAACAAAATTGAGTTATAATGGAATGGCTTAATAATTATGATTGCCTTTACATTTGATCAACATTTCAAGACAAGATAGTACCAATTAAAAATAAGATTTAAAAATAAAAACTGTCTAAAAATTGTTCAATGAAAAAGCCTTAAAAGTTTACACCATTTAAAAATCTGAAACGATTGTAGACCAACTTGGACTAACAGTCTTGTTATCACATATATTTTTGTTATTCTTGAGTTTCATTTCTGTATTATTCATTGGCTACATCATGTTAACAATTTTTCTGTTAAGTTACAGTAGTTTGAATTAATACGTTGTACTGTAAGAGGCTTTGAAAAACATATAACTAGGATAAATTTATAAAAGGATAAAGAATAATTTAAGGGATTTTTGACATATTCTATACAGACGAATAGCTAGTTCAAGGTAATAAAGTGCCTTCTTTTCCAGGTAATACATTTATCATTAAAATATTTTAAGGCTTTATAAGAAACTCAATGCTATCAGAAGTTTGATAGTATATGGAGTTATATTATTAATTAGCATTCTTTTGTAGCTTTTATTTCATGTAATCTTCAATTCATAAGGTATTAATAAATTTTAATAATTAGCTTAAAATTACACATTTGAATTGTCAATTCTGAATTCATTTTGTGGGGAAAGGGAAAGATGTATAATTTCTAAATTCTGTGATCTCTATAAGACTTATGATGCTTGTGAACAATATAGTTTATGCTGTAATATACAGCAGCCAATGCCCCACAGAAAATTTAACAGAGTATTTAATCCCATGGCAAACAGGGCCATCATTTTATTCATTCACTATATTCATTCATTAATATATCCTGCTGTCTTTATATTTAAAATGATCATGCAGGCTTAAACAAACAAGGCCAGAGAAAACCTAAGGTGAATTCTTCAGGTACAGGCACAATGAATATCTTTTATTGCAACAGCTTATGCATAATCTATATTGGTGCCAACATCTAAAGTTCAGCATTTATATTCATTTGTATTTTGCTTCTACTACCCATAGGTGCTTGACAGTAAAATACTGGTAACCTAATAGAATGTACGTGTATATGTGTGTGTGTGTGTGTGTGTGTGTGTGTATATATATATAATAGCATATATATATGTGATACTCATAATAATACAGAATTCTGTTTCTTCCAACTCTTGTCATTTGTCTTTAGGGGATATGCATATGTTTTAAGCACAGCTATGTACTCAGCTGTCTTGGCAGTTCCAGATTTTAGATAAATTATGACTATATGGACAATTACTCAATTATTTATCACCATTGAAAACTAATTAAAATGTTTGAATATTCTTTTTCAGGAATTTAGTTATTTTTATCAGAAAATTACTAAAATCAGGCACAAGATTAAGTGATCATGATACCTAAAACATGCTTCTGGCTACCACTGGATTAATTTAAAATGTTTCTTAAATTAAAGGTTTTGAAGTTAGAATGAATTAGCTAAAACTCATTGCAAAGAATGGTTTAAGTTAAATGTTCCATATAATTAGAAAAGCAGGAATTACCAGTAGGAAAGAAGTGCTAATCTTAAAATTGGGTTTGGTTTTTGTCTCTAAAGCCTAGTAAGAATAATTGCTGGGAATTAGAAAAACAAAATAAAATGGGATTAACCTTTATAATTGCACATTCCTTTACCAAAGTGCCACAAGTTACTGAATATTTTTCTAAAATGCACAATGGTACTTTTCAAACTTTAAAACATGTACAGTTTTACCTTTTTCATATCGGTAGAGTATACATTCATAAATTTAGCACAAATATAACCAACAAGACGAATGATACTGTCTACAAACAGTGTAGTCTTAGTTTTTTTGCTTTAAATAACTCTGAAGAGCCTTTGTGATTATGAGGATTTGACTATATAGTCAAAGCATTCCCAAAAATCCTGAAAACATCATCATAGTTTGTTTAGGCAAATTTTAGTAATACTCTGCCATGCAATGCACAGAAGTCATACGTGTTTTCCCTTAAAATAAAAAAACCACACTGGTTTAATTACCCTGTTTTTATCTTATTTGTCTACATATGCATATTGTCTTCAATCACTGAACTGACAATATATGAACAATTAAGGTTCGAAACAGTATTAAACATTGAGAGTTCTAGCCTTAGCTGCTCATTCCTATAAGGTCCAGCAAAAATGTCTGATGCTTGGGTTATTAATTTTCATGCTTCTATTTCTTTAGTCTAAATAGAAACACTAAAAGGAAGTGTTCAGAGATAGTATAATGACAAAAGGACACTAGAGAACAAAGCACCAACATGTGGGACAAATAAAATAATATGCAACTATGTGGAAGTTCTCCATATTATTAAATTTGGCAAAATCAGGGATGGCAATAAAAATGAAGATCACTTGCTCATGTAATAATCATATTAATATATATTTGCAAATAAATGCAATGCACAGAAAGTTAAATTTTAAATATTTTTTGTTGCTTCTGAGTGTGAAAAAATTAGAGTTGCCTCATTATAAACTAATATTCTCCCCCACCCCAAAATTCTATTGTTCCAAGGAAAGAGAGAATGTAAGATTGTGATTCTCTGTGACAGATGACCTGGGTTCCACTATGCCACAGGCTAAACTCTGCAGTGTAGTGCCCCATTTAATTAGGGTAAAAGCTGGTAAGAACATAAAAGTACTAATGTTAAAATCAGGATTAGGTCATAGTCACAGAACATTAAATAACTGTCTAAATAGGTTCCTTCCTTGAGCATCTGAAACTTAGGTATAAGAATGACTATATAAAAGCATCTTAAAGACATGGCCCATTCTATAAATTCATCTTTTGAGGGTGTATAGTGGGATATAAATTGGCAACCTCATCTTCTGAATTAACAAATTTTAAAAACATAACTAAAATAAAAAAGATCTGGCATAATAAATCACTGATAACTTCCCCAAACCCAACATACTGACAGGTTAGTCATAGGATAGATATTCATCTTATTTAACAAACCTTCCTACAGTTTCTGAGTATTAAAATACAATCCCTTGTTTGTGAATAATAGCCTTGGATAGTTTCAGCATTTAAACATTGGAGAAATATTTTTAATAAACACTGAAATTCTTAATCGAAGCTACAGATTTATAGAAACTTCATAGTATGTGTGATAGTCCAACTATATTTAGCTCGTGTAATATCCAAAATAATATAAGATTCCACAATTTTTCTTGTTAATACACACAGATATTGTCTTAACTTTGTAAAAGCTAGACGATTGTATTTACCTAAAATAGCTTTTCCCTGGTAGTGGTCCTATAGTGTTGACATAAATGAGAGTCATTTCTACCCTATAATTTAATATTGTTTTCTATTATTCAGCTCTTTTGTAGCTGTTTTCATTTCCAAAAAACCTCACAACTAATTATAAGAGCTATTTTCCACTTTATCCCAATGAGCAAGGCAAAGTTAATAAATTGCCTGTGCAGTGGTTGGGCTGCACAGGGTTTATAATGATATTGTATCTTCTCTGCTCTTTGGGCAGTTATCTAGAAATTGTCCATGTTGTGAGTATCTGTACTGTCTGCTCTTTGGGGCCAAAGACTGGATCTTGTTGTCTGCTATATTATCCAGACCCAGAGAAATGATTAGTTCATATTTCTAAGGCAAAATTATAAGGCTTATTTATTCATAGGCCAAATAAATATCTGTTGATTTAATGAATGAATGAGAAATTAGACTGAGAAAACAGAATAAAGAACTTCACCATAACAGTTTCCTACCCCTAACCCCCACAAAAAGCTGTGCTGGTGTGTTTTTGCTTCACCCATTCAGTGGGGTAGGTAGTATTACAATGTCTTAAAGAATAGGGTAGTATTACTCACTTTTGAAATGGTACTCTTGAATTGGGTAGTATTACTCTTGAATAGGGTAGTATTACTCACTCCTGAATTGCTATGGCAAACCCATATGATATGTTTTCCAGAGTACCAATGACACAATTGATTATTACTACAATTACTTCTAAAACTCTGAATGAGTCATCTTTACCTT